GGCAAAGGTTTTTAGCAAAGTTAATAATAATGTGCAAATTTTAATGGATAAGCTTTAAAATGTAAAGCCATTTTATGCAAGAAACAACACATTTAGATATTTTTGCTATAAAATATATTCAAAACAAGTACAACCTTGCTTATGATAAGAAAATTATTAGAAGCCAGTATTGAAATTAATGTTGATCCAGCCATGTAGTTAAAAATTACTCAAGTGCTATAAAGGAATAAATGTGAGTCTTGGCTCTGCTATTTACTTAAATGAGAATTGTTTCCAAATTGTTTCTATCGCTTATCCTCAAATCCATCACCTGGAAGTGGGCATAAATTATTTATCACATACTTTATATGACAATTAAAATGCATTTTGTACAGCTGAACATTGTTGCTCACAACTGCAATCCTCATTACCCAGGAGGCAGAGATCTGGAAGACTGTGGTTTGAGGCCATCCAAGACAGCAGACTCCTTCATCAAAATAACTGATAAAAAGCTGAGGTGGCGGTATGGTTCAAGTGGTAAACCACCAGTGAGCAAGCAAGTTAATGAAGTTTGAAGCCTGGTACTTGCAATTTTATGTAAAATGCTAAGTAAACTGGCAAATTCTGTGTGTGTGTGTGTGTGTGTGTGTGTGTGTGTGTGTGTTCATGTGAATGGTCTTGATGCTGGAGTAAAATCCAGTGGCTCACACATGTTCAAAAACAACTCTCCTCCTGAGCTACAATCCCACCCATATATTTTAATTATTGTCATCATTATTCCCATCATTAAAATGAACTGAAATATATTAACGACATTATGTAGTGAATAATATATTAAGATTTAATTCTAGTATTTCATTAAAATAAGAATATAAAAACTATATGCTTGAAAAATTATACAAGAAAAGATATCAAATTGTATAATGTGATTACACCTGAATGTTGAGATGGAATTGTTAGACCATTCTGCTCCAATCTTTTCATCTTCATGAATACCATAATATCAAATCGTCTCCAGGTCCTGTCTAGATCTATAATGCTATTTTCCTTAATATGTTGAAAAACTTTGTGAAATACTCAAGTGTTTTCCATATTAATTTTCTAGCATCGTTTCTAGCTCCATTACTTGGACTCAATGGCCAGATGAAGTTTCATTACACAGTTCCCAAATTTGTGTGGTAAGGAAAGAATCCTGTTCTGGCAGTGGTAAAGAAAATCAAGAGAAAGAATTTATTTTTGTTTTTGTGTATTTAGCAGAACTTATTGGGCATCTGATTTTGTGGTAGGACTCTATCACTAAAACCATAACCCGTAGCCAGTTCTACTTTAGTTACTTTGAGATAGTGTCTTACACCTGAGTTTTAGCCGTGCTGGAGGATGGTATTTTTATGTATACTTTCTGCACATATTGGGTGACAGACATATCACTACTCTCAGTTGCTGGATAGATTGAGGTCCAAGCTGTTTTCCTCAGACTATGATCCTCCTGATCTCTGTCTTCCAAGTCTCCAGGATTACAGTTGTGAACAACCAGGTTTAGTCCTCCGAATTACATTATTACAAGAGTCTCCTTATCAGATTTTTGCAACCTATTATCCACAATAATGCATAGGCAGAAGAATCCTAAAAATTGAATTTTACCTGTCATTGGCTTATATTTTCTCAAAGGGTTTTTGTGGCTGTCAACAATAAAATCTTACATAACAGTTTAGCTGACCTTTCAAGGTCTGGCTCTTTTATCTTTACAACATCATTTTATGTAACAGCTTTCCTATTCTTATATTCTAGCCACATCTTCATACGATCAGCTTTTCTTTGCTCTTTGCATTGTTTGCTGCGTTCATTAGCTGTCAGCTAGTGTTATATCGTAGAGTACATGTAAGTATGTGTATGGTACACGGATACAGGAAGATAGAAATCTTGTTTACTCTTGTTTATTTGATTCCCAGGACAAAGTCATAGCAGAAGCACACCATAAACATTTGATAAAATAGTTAATGAATAGGTGTTCTGGGCATGATGAGTATTCAAGGAAAATACAGTCAGTCTCTGCCACATAAGTTAACTCTTAAATATGTGTGTGTGTATGTATACTCTGTTTTAATATATAAGACTTACTTAATACAGATCTAATAGACTGTGGAATTTGTATTTCAGCTTCACTTGTCTATAGCTCCTATAGCTGAAGGCTTGCATAAATATGAGTTCTGTTTCGTTACTGAGTTTGTCCACTAATTCTAGATTTGATGGAGAATTTCTCTTTTACTTCCTATTTCTTTTCTTTGCAGTATAATTCATTTGCTCATGAGAATAAACATTATCCCGAGGTATCTGGTCATAAGAAAGTGAAAGGAACGTTTTGAGAATGTTCGGATATCCTTCCAGTGAGAAAATAAACATCACTCTTTGTTTGATTTTTGCTTGTTTAAAATGTCAACTATTACAAAAAAATGACCTTTTTTTCTATACACTGCCAACCACCTTGTTATTCTGGAGCATTCAATTGTGGATGAGAGTTTGAAAGTTTTCTTGTATAGCATCATAGGAAGAGCAGAAGGAAACTGAAATGAGGGTAGGAGTCGACAAGAATGTGACTCAAATTATGTTCATTTTTTATCTAGAGTGGAATTTTTGCAGATCTGATGGGGGAAAATGGTGTTCTCAAAGAGACATGATAATCACACAAACTCCTGTAGAAAATCACCTGTTTTGAAAAGGTAGTGTTTAAGGAATTAGTCATTTTAAAACAACTTAAGTTGGTAGAGATGATTACATTTAAAGTAAGTTTCTAGCACAATCCCTTTAAGTAACCGAAATTATTAATCTGTCAGCACTCTTTTACAAATTATGCTAGGAATTGTTGCAGGAAATGGGGTAAAATCTCTTCCTTAGAAATTTAATCTGAAACAGATTATTACAGTCATAGCTTTGCTAATTCTCCACTGCAAATGTCTTCTTTCTTGCTTTCTGAGACTTATCAATGTGGGGTTTCTTGTGGATCAGTGCAGGAGTACTGATTACTGTAAGTTTTATTACAAGACTCTGTAATTACTTTGAAAACTCTCTGGAGGGCCAAGTGGACTGTCATAATTTTTTCTTCTCACTTCCTAGCCAAAGAATGCCCTGGGAAATTTAATAAAGAAAAAAATCATGCATTTAATACACAGAATCCTATTTAATTTATACATTACTTTGATTGTTATAAGAGCAGCCTTATACATATTCCCATTTATTTTGTTTGCACATCCCCATTTGTCAGATGAGAAAATACTGGCACTGAGCACCTAAACTATTTACAAATAACATTTTACTGTTTTGACATTTTGCAGTTTATGAATCTTGGCCAATATCACCTTTTTCAACATTTTCATCTATCTCTCTCCCAACTCATCACTTCCATCATTTTTTCTTAATTTTGTAGGATATACATTGAATTCCTGACTGCAGTTTCCCCTTCTTCTCTTCATTCATCTAGTACTCTCCCCTTGACTTCACCCCACCTCTGTCAAGTACCAGCTTCCTGGTGTTTATTTTGTTCAACTTTGACTTTGCCTGTCTAAGAAATCACATGATTTGACTTCATTTTTTAATCTACTGTATTTCAGTCATTATATTTGTATACACCGACATGACACCCAATGTACTTATTTTAAGTTTATAAATGAATTCTACCTTCTACGTAAGAGGGACAACATGCAACCTTTGTCTCCCTGAGCCTGAGTTACTTAACATATTTATTACAGGTCTTTCCATTTCTTTGCAAATGATACACTATCATTCTTTTGAACGGATGAGTAAAATTCCATCGTGTGTGTGTTGCATTTTCTAACACTTCTTAATAGCAGAAGACTCTAACATCTCAACCTTCTCCTATAGTTCCCTTAGCTGAAATACCCACCTATCCTCATTTGTCTTTGTTATATCTCATATATTAATTAGATGCAACACATACTTATCTCCAAGGTGATTATTCTGTTTGCTTGACATTACATTTGGAGAGGGGTATTTAGGGTTTTTCATTTTTGTTTTTGGAAGCACTGGGGATGGAATCCAGGGCTTTATACATGCTAACCAAGAACTCTACCTCTGGGACATATCCCTTTAAAGATAACTTTACTTTTATAATTATTTAATATATGTTCAGTGCTGGAAATCTGGAAAGAAACCAAAAGGATATAGAAAACTAAAGTATAAGAAAAATAACTTCCATCTCATTATTTAGAGGTGATCAGTGTTGGAAATTTTATTTATTGGTTGGTTTGTTTTGACAGTTGTGGGCTTGAACTTTGGGGCTGGACACTGTCCCTGAGCTCTTTTGCTCAAGGCTTGCACTCTACCACATTGAACCACAGCTCCACTTCTGGTTTTCTGGTACTTAATTGGAGATGAGGCTCATGGACTTTCCTGTGGGAGCTGGCTTTGAACCATGATCCTCAGATCTCACCCTCTTAAGTAGCTAGGGTTACAGGAATGAGTCAACAGCACCTGACTCAATGTTGGAAATGTTGAGGTTCATACTTCCTAGAGCTTTCTATTTCTAGCATAGTTTTGCTAGTAAGATGCCTTCTCTCTTCTTCTACCTTCTGCTTGCTACACAGCAGGTCTGGTTCTATACTGTAATCCAAATGAACAAAAGAAAAGCATTGATCTTGTCATCAAATCCTAAAAAAGACCTAAGACACACACTCAAAAAGCAGATATTATTTTTTACCGCTTTATTGTTGATGTTTTGCGTTATCATTGACCTTTTTCTCGTATCAGAGCTTCCTTGTTATGTACTTACATTCTTAAAAATTCATGTTCTCTTTTTTTTTCTTCAGGTTTTGAAGATCATGATCCTGTGCATACATCTAACTAAATGCTTGCCATGGATATGGTGGTCATTTAGAGAATATATCTAAGTTGGTGACGAATCCTTGCTGCTGGCCACTCAACATAAGACATCATCTGATTGTGCTGATCAGAACTTTCCTGCATTTCCCCACCATGCTATCGTCATCAGCTTGAATTCCTTTCCTAAAATGGTCCTTCTGCTGATCCTGTCAGTCCTGCTGTTGAAAGAAGATGTCCGTGGGAGCGCCCAGTCCAGTGAGAGGAGAGTGGTGGCTCACATGCCAGGCGACATCATCATTGGGGCTCTCTTCTCCGTCCACCACCAGCCCACAGTGGACAAAGTGCATGAGAGGAAGTGCGGGGCTGTGCGTGAGCAGTATGGCATCCAGAGAGTGGAGGCCATGCTGCATACCCTGGAGAGGATCAACAACGACCCCACACTCTTACCCAACATCACACTTGGCTGTGAGATAAGGGATTCCTGCTGGCACTCAGCCGTGGCCCTGGAGCAGAGCATTGAGTTCATTAGGGACTCTCTCATTTCTTCGGAAGAAGAGGAGGGCTTGGTACGCTGTGTGGATGGCTCTTCATCCTTTCGCTCCAAGAAGCCCATAGTAGGGGTCATCGGGCCTGGCTCCAGCTCAGTGGCCATTCAAGTCCAGAACTTGCTCCAGCTGTTCAACATACCTCAGATTGCTTACTCGGCCACCAGCATGGATCTGAGTGACAAAACTCTATTCAAGTACTTCATGAGGGTTGTGCCTTCCGATGCCCAGCAGGCTCGAGCCATGGTGGACATAGTGAAGAGATACAACTGGACCTACGTGTCGGCCGTACACACAGAAGGTAAGACGCCTTTAGATACATCCACAATGTCTCACAATGCATTCAACAACTTCTCTGTATGTATTGCAGGATATAGAAGCCTAAACTTTTCTAATTATCTTAGGTATTCTAAATTCCTCAACAATACTGGTATAGTTGACAGGGACTTGATAGTAGATATCTCCAGACACATAGGTAAGCAAATATAATAGTTTATATGGTCATGATCTGATGAAATGGTAAGTTTTACATTTTGTACTGAGTTTTTTGAACTTCCTTTATGATAATATACTTTGATATTTGTTGCTAAAGGTTTAAAGTTCTAGATCTTTACTGAACAGTTCACATATTTAACCTTGTTCCCCCTGCCTATTATTTGTGTTTAGGTAAAGGGTTCTGTATATAAAAATACATATTTGGGAAGTCTAGGTTTTAATCAGTCAACCTAAGTTTACTCTGATATATAGCTCTTCTTTATGCTGAAGAAATATTCAGAAAGTAAATTATAAGCTAATAGTAATTCACTGTTTGTTGCTTAAGTGTTTTAAAAAATGCTTTTATTTCTGCTGCTTGCTAGTTGCTTATAAGGCTGAGTGGGCTGTGTATGGTGTCATTTCCACAGATTGTGAAACACATCATGAGATACCCTTCCTAGACAATACTTTTTTTGAGACAACAAAACCCAAAATGAATCTGTTTAGCACTATATCACACTGAAGAAGGGAAAAAACAATTTTTATAAACCATTGCATTATTATGAGGATTAGTTAAGACTAAAATTTTTGCAATAAGTTACTGATGTGATCAATAATCCAATCCTATAAAATGTGCCATTGAGTCATTCAGAAATTAATGTGATTATCTGTGAGTTCATTTCAGAGCCAGCAAACAATCAGATACACCAAATGTTCTTTGTTCACTTGTACCATGCCATGGATGTCAATGCATGGACACTCATTCATAACATCTAGAACTGTACAGATGCTTGATGAACTTCAATATGGACAGGCATTTCTCTATTTCTGGAAATTTTCATGTGTAAATTGATGCTTTCTTTAGAGGCACATTAAAGTATAGAGATTTGAGGACATACATAAATATTTACAATAGAAACCTCTGATATTTCCTTTAAATTTTTTTATTATTGTGAAAATACTGTACAGAGGGGTTACAATTACATGGGCAAGACAATGAGTACATTTCTTATCAAGCATTGTAGCCTCCTCCTTTGTTTCCCCTTCCCATCCCTTCCCATCCTCCCCCCCCCCACCCATTCCTCCCTGCTACCCTTCCCCCCACCAAAGTTGTAAAGTTTGTTTTTGACATAATGACTTGTACGTCTCATTGTTGGAATGGGTCCACCTGTATCCCTATTTAAACAATTTGTTTTTTCCCTTCCCATCCACAAATTATGCCAATATCAAATACAGTGAAAGCAGGGGTTTTACGGTGGGGGAGTTTTTTTTTTAACGTTATTGTAGAGTTGCTATACAGAGGAGTTACAGTTACATGAATCAGATAATGAATACTGGGTACAGTTGTTTTTGAACCACATCTCCTCTTTTGTTGCTCTTTCCTCTTTTGTTCCCTCTTGCCCCCATCCACAAGATATCCAGTTCATTTCCCACATAGTATCCAGTGAGTATCACCGTTATATTTATTCACTCTTGTTCCACCTTTTCTGTGCCCTCCTTTACTCTTCCAAATACAAATTAACAAACAAGACAAAAGGAAAATATAGCAACTATGGCAATTAAAAATGTCTCCTTTCCTTTTCTTGGAGTTCATTTCATAGAATATTGTTTTATGTTATCATACCCACATAGCTATTGAGCCTTTGTCAACCACTCCTATGCCTATCCTCCTCCGGCCTCAGAGTGTGAATGTCTAGAGTTTTATATAATTTATCATGCCCCAGTGAGTGTGCATGTATGTGTGTATATATATATATATATATATATATACACACACACACATGCACACATATATGTATTTAATCATTCAGTGTGTTTCCTTTTAAAATTTTGATCAATCTTTTCTTCCTCTCTTTTGCTGGAGATTAACATGTGACCCTGGCACCTCATTCTCCCCCTCAACACTGAGGTTTTCCTTGTAAATCCCAATTTCATTTGATTCTCAAAATAATTCAGCAATATCAACAGTCCACATATTTTTTTTAATGATTCCTGAGTTTATTATTTTTTTTGATTTTTTTTATTGTAAAGATACTATACAGAGGGTTACAGTTACATGAGTGGGGTAATGAGTACACTTCCTCTTGAACATTGTTACCCCCTCCATTGTTTTCCCCCTACCATCCCCTCCCTCCCTCCCTTCCCCGAGGTTCTTTTTTTTTTTGATTGTGATTAAGTGATTACATAATTTCAAAGTCACAAGTTCATTCTAACTTCCCTGGAGCAAATTGTCTACCACAGTCTGTAATATATAACAGTGTTCACATGTTATATACCATATTTGTGATCAGCAGCATGGGGATATTTAGTAGTGGTTCAACCAGATGAGCAGGAGTTCTTTGTTTCTTAAGTCCTGTTAGTTTTGTCGTATCACCTAACATTTTGGATTTAGCATCCACTTATCAGGGAGACCATGTAACGTTTGTCTCTTCGTTCTTGGCTTACCTCGCTCAACATGATTCCTTCTAGCTCCATCCATTTCCCTGCAAATGCCATTATTTTGTCATTTCTAATGGCTGCATAATATTCCATTGTGTATAGATACCACATTTTTTTGATCCATTCATCTGTGGTGGGGCATCTAGGTTGTTTCCATATCCTAGCTATTGCGAACAGTGCTGCAATAAACATGGAGGTGCACGTGTCCTTGTATATTGGTTCCTGTTGTTCAGGGTAGATGCCTAGAAGTGGTATGACTGGGTCGTAAAGGAGGTCAATCTTTAGCTTTCTAAGGACCCTCCAGACTGCTTTCCAAAGTGGTTGTATAAGTGTACATTCCCACCAGCAGTGTAATAGGGTTCCTCTTTCTCCACATCCCCTCCAGCATTTGTTGTTGGCTGATTTGTGGATGTGGGACATTCTGACTGGGGTAAGGTGGTATCTCAGGGTTGTCTTTATTTGCATTTCCTTCACCACCAGGGATGATGAACATTTCCTCATGTGTTTCTTTGCCATTTTTATTTCTTCATTTGAGAAGTCCCTCTTTAGTTCCCTTGCCCATTTAGTAATTGGTTTGTTAGGTTTGGGAGGGATTAGTTTCTTGAGTTCCCTGTATATACAGGATGTTAACCCCTTGTCTGATATATTGCTGGTAAATATTTTTTCCCAATTAGTTGGTTGTCTTTCTAGCTTAGTTGCGATAGATTTAGCTGTGCAGAAGCTTTTTATTTTAAGGTAGTCCCATTTGTCGAGTCTCTCTCCAACTTGTTGTGACCCTGGGACTCTGTTCAGGAAGTTCCTTCCTGTGCCTATTAGTTCAAGTGTCTCTCCTACTCTGTCCTGCAGTAGTTTCAGAGATTCAGGTTTAATGTTAAGGTCTTTAATCCATTTTGAGTTGATGTTGGTGCATGGTGATAGGCTGGGGTCCACTTTTAGTTTTCTGCATGTGGCTGCCCAGTTTTCCCAGCACCAGCGGTTGAAGAGGCTGTGTTTCTTCCATTGTATGTCTTTGGCTCCTTTGTCGAATATCAGCTGGCTGTAGGCCTGTGGATTTATTTCTGGATCTTCTATTCTGTTCCATTGGTCTTCGGGTCTGTTTTTGTGCCAGTACCATGCTGTCTTTGTTATTATAGCTCTGTAGTAGAGTTTGAAGTTCGGCATGGATAGCCCTCCCATATTGTCTTTATCCCCTAGAATTGTTTTGGCTATTCTAGGTCTTTCGTTGTTCCATATAAATTTTTGGACTGTTTTCTGTATTTCAGTGATGTACGTCATTGGGATTTTAATAGGAATTGCATTGAATTTGTATATTAGTTTTGGAAGTATTACCATCTTTACTATATTAAGTCGGCCTATCCAGGAGCATGGGAGGTCTTTCCATTTCCTAGTGTCTTCTGCAATTTCTTTCTTTAACTTTTTATAGTTCTCATTAAATAGTTCTTTTACATCTTTGGTTAGGTTAATTCCTAAATATTTTATTTTTTGGGAGGTTATTGTGAATGGGGTTGCTCCCTTTATTTCCCTCTCTTCCTGTGCGTTCTCAGTGTATAGGAAGGCTACTGATTTTTGTGGGTTTATTTTGTATCCTGCTATTTTGCCGAAGTGACTTATGATTTCTAAAAGTTTGGGGATGGAGTTTTTGGGATCGTGGAGGTATAGTATCATGTCGTCTGCAAAAAGGGATAGTTTAACTTCTTCTTTCCCTATGCGGATCCCTTTAATGTCTTTTTCTTGCCTTATTGCCCTGGCTAAGGGTTCTAGGACTATGTTGAAGAGGAGTGGAGACAGTGGGCATCCTTGCCTTGTTCCTGTTTTTAGGAGGATTGGTTGTAGCCTTTCCCCATTAAGTATAATATTGGCTATTGGTCTGTCATAAATGGCTTTTATTGTTTTTAGAAATGTTCCTTCTATTCCTATTTTCTCCAGAGCTTTTAGCATGAATGAATGTTGAATTTTATCAAAGGCCTTTTCTGCATCTGTGGCGATAATCATGTGATTCTTGACCTTGGCTCTGTTGATATGCTGGATTACATTTATTGACTTACGTATGTTAAACCATCCCTGCGTCTCTGGGATGAAGCCTACCTGATCATAGTGTATTATTTTTTTTTATGTGTTTCTGGATTCTGTTAGCTAGAATCTTGTTAAGGATCTTTGCATCTGTGTTCATCAAGGAAATTGGCCTGTAATTCTCCTTTTTGGTTGGGTCTTTGCCTGGTTTGGGGATGAGTGTGATATTGGCTTCGTAGAATGAGTTTGGGATAGCTCCCTCCTTCTCTGTTTCTCTGAAGAGCTTGAGGAGTATGGGTATTAGTTCTTGTTTAAAGGTCATAGAATTCTGCTCTGAATCCATCTGGTCCTGGGCTTTTTTTTGTTGGAAGACTTTTG